GTTGTTGCGTTGTCATTGGGGTGGTTTTTTTTACGTGGCGGGTCCCAAACCCAGCGCACAACCCTATGCAGGGAATGTTTCGCCTTCTCACTTTAACTCACCTTCAAACGGATGTTCTTAGGCTAACCAGAGGATACTTGGTCAAGGCCCGGAAGTCGTGAGCTGCTTGAGTCATGTGTAAAAGAATCGTTACTGGCCACTCCCAAGTGAATGGCGATCAGAAAACTTTCCTCACTTGCGTGAACTTCTACACATGACTCCATCCTCCAACTAGTGGTAATATAAATATGTATTAAAAAGAAGTGAGTATAATCATTCTTAATTTTCGTTAAATACGAGTATTGTAAGAGATTATGGTAAGTATTAAGGTAAGTAATAGATTGGTATTATGAATGCATTATTAAGGTAGGTATTTTACAATAGACTTTCTTAATTTAATATTTAATGATTCAATATTTTATAATTTTTATAATTCAATTTTCTTAATTTTAATTCTAGGTTTAAATATACGTATATATATTGTCGCTTGACACAACAGGTTGTATTGAAAAACATGCTATCTAAGTATCACTAAGGTACCTACTCACATAACTAGGGCCAACTATTTTAAGCTTGTGCTTATAATTGCTTATTTTGCATATTTAGAGTTTCCAAACTTACTTTTGATGATCATGCCTATTTTGTGCATATTTGTTAAACTTTAAACACATTCGACGCGATTCAACACATTCATGTTTCTCTCGCAGAGGCTTCGAATGTGTTTAAGCCTTTACTTTATTTGACGAAATGTGGCAACTCAACCACTATTTTTTCCGCGCTGACAGCTGTGAACTACATTTTTATCTTTTCTTGTTATGGGTGTGTGAAACCAGTTTTGAGTGGTGTACTATTATGTCAAATGCCTAAAGAAAAGTAAACGAAAACAGAATTCTACTCGCGTATGGCGAGTCAGTACAAAGGCATGCTGTGAACAGATAAGTCTGTTTTGTTTTGAATTTATTGTAATTGCTCTATAACTGGTGGTAAAACTTTCAATGTGAAACAACATTTTGAAACAAACAAAAACAAACTGTGTGTAGAGAGGCGCTCAGAAAAAACCGAAAGTCAATTGCTGCTGAAAGAAAGTGTTGAGAATAAATACTGGACTTTTGCAAAATGTTTTTGAGCGCAAATATACCATTGGAAAAAGCTGTTATAGAGYTCCTTGAAAAATATACTAACAAGACAGTGCCGAGTGTTACAAATTTACGCCTAAAATATGTTCCTGAGTTATACGAAAAAAGTCTAGAAAAAATGCGGGCCGCAGTTGGTGACAAAAACATTTGGATATCTATTGATGAAACGACTGACGTTGAGCAAAGATTGATTGCGAATTTTGTGTTTGGAATTTTGGATGGCACCAAAGAAAGTGCGGAAAAGTCTTACCTTTTGAACTCTGGCGTTGTAGAAGCCGCCAATGCCAATACGGTGGCAGCATTCCTGAACGATTCGCTGCATATTTTGTGGCCGGACGGTACATATTGTATATTGTATATATATGGTATATACATATGCTAATATTACTTTTTTAAAGGTATTCAGTACAACAGAGTATTATTTGCGGTTACGGATGCGGCGGCGTACATGTTAGCAACTATGAAGGCTATGAAGACGTTGTACCCAAAGATGTTGCATTGCACATGCTTCGCCCATGACGTGCATAGAATAGCAGAGTTCGTACGACTCGAACTTACAGATGTCAATGCACTTATTTCGAATGTGAAATCAATCTATTGCAAGGTATCACCTCAATTTGAACAAATTAAGTAAATATTTACCAATAATATTTTTTGTTTTAAGGCACCGTCTCGACGAYGTCAAATCAAGGCAGACCTTCTAGAGTTGAAATTACCCCCACAACCTTTTACAACTAGGTGGGGTACATGGATTGATGCGGCTGAATATTATTGCGATCATTTGTACGACATAGATTCAGCAATTAATAAACTCAGCAATGACGACTCAGACGTTATTCGTCGAACCAAAGAAATATTAAAAAATAAGAACCTGAAAAATTAACTTATTTTTATCAAATCAAACTTTGCTTGCCTTTGTGCAGGGATTGAAAAGCTGCAAACAAAAGGCCTATCTTTGCAGGAAGGTATTGACGTCATGGAAGTTGTAAATCAATCATTAAGACAAATCGAGGATAAACGCTTTTTGCAAAAATTAAATGCAGTTCTAAAAAGAAACGAAGGCTACACGTCTTTATGCAAAATTAAAAGAATTATTTTCAATAACTCGAAGGAAAATGATAACTTCATCGATTCTTTAACACCGGTGGAAATTGCTAATATTAAATACCGTCCAGTGACTTCAGTGGACGTTAAAAGATCTTTTTCCGTTTACACCACATTGTTAAATGAAAAACGACGATCGCTTTTATTTGAAAATTTGAAGCAACATTTAATTGTGCATTGCAATTTTACTCTTTTTAACAACAATGATAATTAAAACAAATAAAACAAAATTTTTAGATTAATTTTAATTTTTTTTTATTGTGCATATTTGCGAACATATTTCAACCTTTTTTAGTGCATATCTAAGCGCTTAAAACTGCATTTTTTGTGCATATTTTGGTTGGCCCTGCACATAACACTACCAATATACAAAGACTAAAGTCATAAAAGTTTTGTTATTAGATATATGGGAGCTTAGACAAGTTTTCACAAGATTTTATTCATTTTAGGCCCAGTGACACATTGTTATCGCGTGTTTTTTATTTTATTTAAGTTGGCCCACATATTTACGGATATTTCCTGTATAAAATCAGCTTGAAGTTCTAATATTTTTCTTTGAGGTTAAAACAAACTGGGAGAATTATTGATCCGATTCGAATATTTTAATTAGTGCTTAGTAATGATATTTACTAGCTTTTCAATTAATGGCGTTTATGGGTGTTCCAGTGGTCCTATTGTGCCCATCAGAAATTCTTCGTCACTTTTTTGTCAAGGATGATGTGTACCAAGTTTCATTATGATCTTTTCATTTTCACTCAAGGTATTGCTTGCGTTTTAACAGGTTCCCTGTCCCCATGCAACAATTAATTTTTAACGGTACACGTGCAACACTTATTTTTGAAATTATATTGCTATCCTACACATCTTGACAGCGATATAACGATAACAAAAAATTTGTATCAGCTATGATACACGAACGTGTCACTACGAAGTTGAATTGCGTACGCTCAATGTACCATCAGTGATACATTTAATAAACTTATTTCAAATCAACCAAAAACTTGTTCATATATGATACTTGGACGCTGTACACATGGTACAAGAAAATAATTTTGTATCACATGTGATACAGTGGACAGGGAACCTGTTAAGTAACATTTTGTTTGGCGATTATAAGATGAAGCAAAAATTTTTTTGTTTTATATTTGAAAAGGAAAAATTATATTTCATTTCACAACAGTAATGAATTCATTTCGATTACAAAAATTAAGTGTTATTTAGTTGAACTTCTCTAAGTAAATGAAAGTGAATCCAAAGTAAATACTGAAATTATGTGTCCGCAAATTATACGTTTCATTGAAGTGCTCTTTGGTAAACCACATTTTTTGTTTTTTGGTCTGACGTTAACACAAACAAAGCGGATGGTTGATAAAAACAATGATTTTCTAAATGTATCCCCCAAATATCCCCGAATGGGTCGTATTAGATTCCAGCATAAGAAAATTTATCAAGCCACCGGATTGTCTCCGGATCGAAAAACCACCAACTAGATCGATCATGTTGTGATAGACGGAAGACACATCTCCAGTGCTTTAGATCCTAACATCAACTCGGTCCACTATCTTGTTACAGCCAAGATTCACACCCTCCTCTCTGCAGCAAAAAATTAACGTCAACAAACTGAAGGAAGTTTCGAAGTCGAGAAGCTACAATCACAAAATTCAGCCAAACGATTTTCCACTCGGCTTGCACTACTGCTTGTTGAGAGCACTCGTCAACAACTCGGTATAAGGGATCTGTGGGACAGCATTTCAAACTCCTTACGTACAACTGCAACCGAAACCATTGGTTTTCGGAAAGTGCAAAAGAACAGCTGGTTGGGCGAGGATTGCCGTGTCGCAGCGGAGAGAAAACAAGCTGCCTACCTAGCAACGTTACGATCGACCGTAACACGTGCGGGATGGGATAGATACCAAGAGTTGAAGTGGGAAGCGAGACGCATTTGCAGACAGAAAAAGAAAGGGGCCGAAATGCGTGATTACGAAGAGCTTGATAAGCTGGCCGACAGGGGTAATGCTCGAAAATTCAACGAAAAAAAGCGGCGGCTTAAAGAAGGTTTCAAGACCAGAGCATACCCTTATAGAACCTCCAAAGGTGATCTAGTCACTGATGCCCAGAGCATACTTGAATTATGGAGGGAACACTTCTCCAGCTTGCTSTATGGCACTGAATGCACAACGCCAGGAGAAATCGAACCCGATTCCCCAATCCATGACGATAGAGCAGACGTTCCATTGCCAGACCTTGAAGAAGTTCGAATAGCAATCACTCGCCTGAAGAACAACAAAGCGGCGGAGGCCGATGGATTGCCGGCCGAGCTATTCAAACACGGCGGCGCAGAACTGATAAAGAGCATGCATCAGCTTTGGACCTTATCAGTGTGGCTTTAGACCTGGCAAATTAACAACCGACCAGATATTCACCATGGGTCAAATCTTGGAAAAGAATCGTGAAAGGAGAATCGACACACACCACCTCTTCGTTGATTTYAAAGCTGCTTTCGACAGCACGAAAAGAGCTGCATTTATGCCGCGATGTCTGAATTTGGTATCCCCGCAAAACTAATACGGCTGTGTAAGCTGACGTTGAGCAACACCAAAAGTTTCTTCAAAATCTGCTTCTGGAGAAAATAGTTCGAGCTGCAGAACTAAATAGAGAAGGTACCATCTTCTATAAGAGTGTACAGTTGCTGCCGTATGCCGATGATATTGATATCATCAGCCTTTAGACCCGCACCGTTAGTGCTGCTTTCTCCAGACTGGGCAAGGAAGCAAAACAAATGGATCTGGCAGTGAACGAGGGCAAGATGCTGTTATCAAACAAACAATCGGCGCAGTCGCGACTTGACACTCTCGTCACTGTTGATAGGGATGGCAAATTTTTTATTTTTTTTATCGATTAAATAATCTAATGATTAATTCATATAAAAAAAAGAATTGCAATTAGTGTAAAAAAGTCGATTCATTTACAATGTTTTCAAATAATACTAAATTGCATAAAGATCACCACCAAGTTTCACCTCTACCACAGAGTCCCAGACATATCCTAAAAGAGAAAAAAGCCTATGGTGGCTGATGAATTTTGCTACATTAAGAAACTCAAATAATTTATTTTTTTAGTGTATGGAATTAATTTTTCTTTTATTCGTGTTGCTCATGAAATTCATTCAATTATATTAAATATAGCTTAATTAGTTTTAAGAATAATATAATTTAAATGCCCCTCTCCTGCTGTTGTTCATTACTGCTTCGAGAGTTGAGACAGGAATAGCCGCAATTGTTTCTCGAATGGCTAAGTTCATTCAAATTTGTTGGTTTTGCTTTGTAGACTTCCTGTTTGCAATAACCCCACAAGAAAAAGTCAGGTGCAGTAAGGTCAGGTGACATCTGTGGCCAACGGAATGTGGAGTTTCTGGATATCAGCTTATAGGGAAATTTTCGTCGCAATTCTGTCATAACAGGTTGGGCTATGTGAGAAGCTGCACCATCTTGCTGAAACCACACAGAGTTGAAAAAATGCTCATTTGGCGTAATTCTGGATAAAAAACTCTCTCAAGTAACGGTCTCCAGTAACCGTAACGGTGTGACCGTTTTCTTCAAAGAAGTAGGGCCCGACAATGCAGCGTTAGGAAACTGAACACCACATTGTGACACGAAGTTGTTGCAATTCCGTCTCATGGAGTATCTGTGGGTTGGAAGCACTACATATTCGACAATTTTGTTCGTTTAAATCGAAATGGGCCTCGTCAGACATGAAAAGACAATTCAACATGTTTTCATCCTCTTCCATGGTTCTTCTATGGGTTCGAACTGAAGGGTTTTGATGGTAAGGTCTTCTGTTGACTGTCCCATGCTCGGCACAATTGTTTACAAGTCTCATTATGGTCCAAAATAAAAAAAAAATTAACCAGATTCATTAAATAGAAAAAAAGTTATTTAATTTTTTTTTGGTAGCGGCTGTCATCAGCCACCCTGTATTTGAAGTACTACAGTAGCACAATGACATTATATTTTTCAAAATATGTACAGCAATCTTACAGTAAAGGAATTGCCTCTTGCTTGGAAGACGATGTTTTGCAACTTTGCGTAAAAATAAAACCAACAAAATATAGGAGACTATATTCTTATTTCAGACAATCAAATTATGTTGGTATACACACAAACACAGAAACGAAAATAAAATTAAAATATCGTATTAAAAAGTTCATTTGTCTTAGCATAAATGAAAATATATTCATTGGAGTCAAGGAAATTTATTCTCTGTTCAACCAAGTTTGAAGAAAAAGCAATTTCGATAAATGTTCGATAAACACTCGTTTCGTTCAAACGATTGCGTTTTTCGGTAGCAGTTGCACCCGCTCTCGAGAAAAGCCGCTCAGCTGGCACTGAGGTACCAAGTAGATGACAATGCTTTTTTGAGAATCCGTAAAGTTTTGGGTAAACGGTTTTCATTTCTTCCCAAGTATCAATCGTGTTTCGATTTAGTTCTAATACCTGAAAATTCAAATAAATGCTCGATTCATCTTCTGGAGATGTAAAATCGATGTCCGTCCTCCTTCTTTTGTGCACTAGAGTTTTGTGAGGAGCCCAGAGGTCAAACTAATTCTCAACCGATTCCACTGACGACTCGCTGCCCGTTTCCATAGTATCATCTGCAACTATTATTTCAGTACGTAAAAACCTTATAACTGGGACAACGTTATCGCAATCCTTGATTGCAGAGTCTACTTTGTACATATATATTTATATATAACTAGGAGAAATTTTAAATGTAATACCGATTGCTCCAACTTACCACCAATTTGCAGGCTACAGCTGCATGCTTTAGTTTTATGCTGCAACATATTTGATGTGTTATTAGAAAATTTTTGCAGTAAAATTGACATTTAACGTTATTTTATTAAAAAATTTCCACACTTCGCTTTTAACTGGCACCATTGCTCTTCAAACAACTGAACGTAAAGTGCGTTTGACTTAACTATAAATGCAGTGTTACATTCATTTGTTGATATTAAACTATGTTTACACCGTTTCCAGTCATTAATGATTGATGCGACCAATTTCGACTCTTGGACGCTAACTTAGGTGAACATAAAATGTATTAAATTTCAATAATAAATTAATGTCCAGTTAACAGATTGCATTTTATTTAATTTTAAGTTTACATTAATTTTTACTTTAACTTAACACGCCTAATGATTTACTAAT